TTATTATTTTCATAGGATATTTGTTTTGTAAAATTCAAAAAAAAAAAAAAATACATACCGATTTTATAAATCATAAAAATTTGTATCTAGTATCTCTATCTAATGTAAAACAAAATATAATATTGCAATACAGGATACTCCAAAGAAAAACGAATSCAAACACTGCAAAATATTACGTATCTTATAATATATACTCTGTTCCGACCAAAACTCCGACGTACCGCCATAGGGAATAGACCGGTTTAGATAGCAGGGTGACGTAGTGGGAATGTCCAAAATTTGAGTGTTCTCTCTCGCTGGACAGAGTTTAAGTCCTACCTACATGTCCATATGGTTGCTGTTTGTAACACCTACCGAAACGACCGTGACAAGATTTTCTCGTCGCCGGTTCGTCTCGCAACGTGTCCGAAACGTTTAAATTTCATGCTTGGCGATTATTCCAAATTCTAGATTAACGCGACCCGACGGACGGCGGCCTATACTCTCGAACAGTCGAACGCGATCTATCGACTTGTCGGCCGCGATTTCGCGCCGGGGCAGAACCGGTGGAAAAATCTGCGCGACCCCCGAGCCCTACTTCAACCGAACTCTCAACTATAATAATAATAATAATAATATAATACGACACGCGCGCGTTCAGTTAACAAAATATACAACATTATAATATATCATTATTATTGTTATTATTACTATACCTGTGTGGGAATATTATTGTATCACAGTTATTGTTATTATCGAGGGGAGTGGGTTCCGCTCGCGTGGGCGTCCGTGTGTCTGCTATCCACGTCACGTCTCGCGAAAAAAAGGCTCCGCCGACGACACTCGCCGTCTTTGCGCTGTGCTGCAGAAATTGCGGGACCTCGTGCGATTTCGTGTCTTGCCGACCCGGTCAGCGGCCGATTTCAAATAAAAAATATAATTATTTATCGTTGAGTTCTTTCAGTTCTTTATACTTTGTTTCAGCCATCACGGCGCGTCCATCATACGTCGTCGGCCATAATAAAAATAATATAAACATGAAACGGCTTTGGGCACGTCGACGAAAATAATGTTATGATGACGGTGACGGAGACTCGCACGACGAGCGTTTCGAAAAATACAAAAAAAACTTATCCTCAAACGACTCCCCTCCCCGGGAGGCGAACGGATAATGACATAAAAACACCTGTGCGGTACGACGATGTGCCTACCTGCGTGCGCGCCCACCAAAAGTGCCAGTTTTCGTCGATCGAGGATTGAGCGTCTCGAAAAGGTCGTGATGACGATAAAGATGATATTATTAATATTAACGTCGCGTAGCGGCGTAGCAGACCGCTTCCTGCCTTATTCGCTTCCGGTATTGACGAGTTATTACTCGCGCCACCATAACTATAATATTATTATAATCACGTCCGCCCAAACTTTATGCGATGATATTATCGTAATATAATTATAAAACGTAGGTACCTATACCTATCGGAGTATCATGTATAATATTATTATAGCCGATGATAAAATATCTTACGCCACCTGACCAACAACAGCAGGCTGTTATCGTCGCGATAACGACACATCGAACGATGAAATATATTACAATAATCATACTCATACACAATAATTTTCGTAAACAGAATTCAATAGACGGATATAATAATATTAAGCCATTCGTATTGTTATTAATAATAATAATAATACCTACACTGTGGTCGACGACCGTTTTCCTCAGTCATAATAATATAATTTTCCGAATCGTCCGAAACTCCACGCCATCATCACCCTCGATCGTCTCTGCGCATCTCGCCCATCACCGGTCCACCCCACCAACCATCGTCGAGTAGGCCAACCATAATAAATAAAGTAGGTACCTTTAATACGATTCGTACGTGGCAGGCGGTAGTCGGTGAACGTGCATGAGTATTTCGATCTGGCGAAGAACATTATAAGAAACGAGATAATTGTAGTTCAAAACTATAGAAAAAAAAATATTACGGCCATGTTATTATGACTGTTGTGGACTAAATTTAATAAACTTTCAATATTTTTCGTCGTACATAACGTTATTATTATTATATAATAGATTATATTTACCGTTTTAAATTATATGAAACGCAAAACCCGACGACCTGCGACTGTTGCAGTCTCCGTCTTACAATAACGAAGCACAACGCCATGGCAAACTAATTTACGTTCAGAATAATTATCCATTTGAACGCTGAAAGTTTTTATGTTATTGTAAAACGACTAATCACAATGATATTGTATTATAATCTAACCCCACGTAGAGGTCTTTTTTTTATACTTTAATGTCTTAGGCGCATGTTGCAGAGTCCTTTAAAATTGTAAAGTTTTTGGTTGTTATTTAATAAATACTCATAACTTGGATTGAAATTTAAAAAAAAAAACGCAAAGCGGGGCTATCATAATATTATATTTAGAGTCAAATTGATCATTCTGAACKTGAGACTTGCATAATACGTTGTGCATTTCTAAGACAGAACTAAAGCGTACCATCTATATTCTATATTATAGGTATTACCAATTACCATGACATTCCCTTGGAGAGAAACGAATCAGGAAAAATATGTATACAAGAAAATTTGTATGCCCACACAATTTGAAATTTTTAACATTATACTATTTGTTTGCACTTTACGAAAAGTTAGTTGCAGTATAACTACGTTATAGAGCACTGCGATGAAAACAATGTACATCGATTTCTAATAATTATTTCAAAATTATTTTATTCTAGTGTTACATAATAAAGTGTTAATATATAGGTACTCGTCGGTACATATTATTATTATTATCATTACTATCATAATATATGTATATTATGTACTATTTTTTGAAAACCTTAGACTATTCTATTTTTAAATTTTATYATTATATTATATAAATGTTAACGAGTTCGTAATATTTATAGCGGGTTACTATTATTATTATAATTATTATCATCTATATGTATTTAAGTATATTAAATAATATATTTAAAGTAATCGCCTTATTCGAAATTTTAGATTTAAGCCTTGATTGCGATTCTGTTCGTCGTGAACTTATAAACACCAATACCACTGTTGTTACTATTTTATCGAGCTATTACTGTGATTTAATTTTGTTCTATAACCTCTGTCCGCCTTAACTATAACATCTTCTAAAAAGTGACTTATGAATGTAAATACATATTATTTACATAATTTATATCAATTTTTTTTCTAAAGCACTTCCCGTTTGTATATAAATATATTAAATTATATAAGAAATAAAATCGTTCGAACTTTGAGTTACAAAAATACTGGGAATGATATTATTATAATGCATAATAATATAAATCTCATTATTTTTGAAAACGTATAAACTTGAACAGTTATATGTAATACATAAAATATTTAATCAAAAAAATAGACTACCTWTACCTTACGTATATACATTATTATTATTATTATTATCATCATCATTATTATTAGATACTGTTGTTACTCGGTAGCTTACGAGGTACCATTTTTATTTATTTTTACACATTATACTAAATGTTTGTAATGTTATTTTTATTGTTATTATTCGACAATCAAAACGAATACTATTTAGAATTATTAGTATAATAGCGGTAGTGATTTTTGTTTAGTTTTACGAAAGTTTATTATATATTATATTATAATACTGTTCTTTTAAAAAAAAAAAAATTATATTCACTTTGATAAAATACCTACGTCTATTATTAGTTATAACTATACAAAATTATGATTCACATGATAATAATATATAATATATATAATATATTAAATATATTATATAGATTTATATGGTATTTGTACCAATGCATAACAACAATGTGAACGGTAAATCTTAGACAGTTTAAAATGACCGTTTATTGTTATATAAAACTACGATTTAATAATGATATTTATATTTTACTCGGATTAACATTGTTTTAAAAATTACCTAGATACCTATATGCAATATACTATATTTTATACATGCCTAATTAATAATTATAAGATATATTATATAGTCGTCTGTATACCTAATACCTATAAGGCTATAAGCCTATAACCTACTGACAATTTGACAAAAACTGCCCTTTAATTTCGTTAATTATATTATTATTCGTAACCTATAGGTACACACTACACGCACCGGTTAATAAATAAATACCACTTTTAATAGGAATGGACAATGGTGCCAAGTGCTGAAATCTAATAAAAAAATAATAAATAGATAATGATATTGATAGTATAAATTAGGAMGACCTTTTTTGCTTACATAATTATTATCCAGGCGAATTTCACAATTGAAATGTATCATCAGTAGTGTTTCCAATTTTTTTCATAAAATGGGTTAATGGTACAACAGTAGTTATTCCATTTTCCGGACAATGATACTGGACATTGTTTTCATTATAATAAAAAAGTGTTATTCAACTATTCAAGTCCTAATTGACTGATAAATGTCAGTCGAACATACTTCAGTTTTTGATTAATCAACAGGCTTGCTATGTTTTAACCAAAGCAATTCCTAACTATTAAGACTATAATACTACTTTCAGTAGTATTTTCCATTTTTGTTTTTTTTTTAGCTAGGAATCGTAGTATCATAAYAGAGAAAGCCACAATAGTGTTATTACTTCTGCCAACATCAGGGGCCAAGGACGCTAGAATATCATAGTCAATAATACCCCTAAGAATATAAGAAGAATCTAAATTTGTACACAATTCCTATTAAATCTAAAAATTATTTTATTATTTAATTTGGTCGTTGATTTTGCTGTATAATTAGTGTACTGATAATTTAGTGTACATATTTTAACCAAATTCAATTGAAATCRAAACAATGGTACCTAAGCCATACTTGATGAGAGATGACAGTCTSTACCTATTGAATACTRAATTGAAATCATACTTTATCTTCAGTCTCAGAGTCTCAGACACTTTTAAACTAAATTTAATTAATTAATTAAGCCAATCTTATAATATAATATAATATTATAATTATAAAAATTAATAATAAGTAAAATATACATTTAATATTTATAAGCCAACTATAAACACTAAGTTGTTTGACTTGSACATTGATTAATTCYTACATGTTTAAAATAAACTACAACAGTTACCACAATATAATATACAAAACCAAAATCAAATAACTTAACTATGATTCCCTATATCACATGTTCAATTAAAAACGAATTATTTAGTCATGATTAATACCTGATGGTTAGTAACTAGTTTATTAGTGTAGTTAAGCTCATAATCGCAACTAGGGTTAATTTTTTGGGGGGCTATAATTGTATAAGTCACACTAACCCGCGTTTAACTCGTGTATATTTTTTCTATGACGAATAAAATTAATTAATTTGTAAGTCATGGCTTTATTTGGGGGGCRGGGGGGAGCTAAGCCCTAACCTAACCTAACTAAGCCCCCCTAACCTCTACCTAATTGCGCCTATGGGTAGTGAAGTATGAATAAAACAGTTTTACTTCATTTGCTAAGTATTGGTCTTCTTATTAAACTTGGCGAATGTCAAAAGGTGAGTCAAAAATGTAATTTCAAACAAAAACATTTGTTTACAAAATGGGCATACAATTTTTATAAATTCTGTCCGTGGTGTCCGTGATGTYTCATTCTTATCGATAGTATAAAAATTGCTCTTTCGTAAGAGCAACTGTAAAAAATAAAACATCCTTTTAAATACCAGCAAATAGTTTTAAGTCTGAATTAYTGGAATCATGCGGTAATAGTTCGATATATCATTGCTTTGAAAAATTCTTACAAAATAACCATAGTCTCTACAGCTATAAAAATGACATCCCTGAAAGGGTAGGTTGTCTACTATCCTGTGAATAAGTTTTTGGGGATAACTTTTGAATTGTTTAGCGATGAGGAGACGATTACCGCGGAAAGTCCGAAATGCTGACATCATGTGGTAACAGTATGCCAAATTATAAAACTATAAAACTATAAACTTAAGTAAGTATGGTTTTGTAAGTATACAAGAATTACATCAAAAAAATTTGTTTTTCCATTAATTTGAAAATGTAATCATCATACAACATTGTTATGATACCTAATAAATTCCTTAAATACTCTTCAGTGGTTTGAAATTTAAATACTAGTCTTATCACACCATATTACTTAACACCCAATAGGTAATAAATTACTATAATAGTTAGGTATTGCATTTTTACAGATTGTGATTAGGTAACACATTAGGGATGACTTTGTTAATAGCTAAACCATTTGAAACTCAACAATCTTAAACTAAAAAATGTTCAATCGAAAAAATTATGTTTTTCCTATAAAAGATGACATTTCACTTTTGTGTTTAAATTTAACTTATTAAATAAGTATAAAATATAGAATAAATATTGTACAAAAGAAAATAAGTAAATCTTAAAATAACTTTGGTGTTAGTGGATAAGTTCAGTCTTGTTTCGATGTACCTACACAATTGAGATATTTAGAATAATGATTAAATTATTGACTTAGATTAATCAAAGTCTATAGTCAAAAATTATAAAAAAAAAATTTTTAACATATCTGGTCATTTGGTTTATCGGTTGATTTAGGGTGCTCTTCTGAATTAGTAATCTCATTATCATCCACTTCTACCACAATAGAATTTTCAAATTCTGCATAGTTTACTCCACTAGAAAAAAAAAACAATAACAATAATAATAATAATTTTGCACTATATTAAAATGTACTGTTTTTTTTTAAGATGGTGAAATACTAATGCTCTGAAATGTGTTTCAAGCCTTAGAAATATTATTAATCAGAAAGTTGTACATGTCTACATTGAAAGCATACAGAACTAATCTAAGGAACAAAACAAGTACTGATGAATATATTATAAAGCATATAAATGAGCGCATGTGGTTTTATAATTGTTTTCAATAAAAATTGAATGATAATAAACAAAAATATAATGTTTAAACACGAATCACGATACAACAACAATAGTATTTATGATTATTTTTAAATAACATAAACTCAGTTAATTAAGGTAAATTAATAAAACAAACTTTACATATAATACTACATAAACATACTAATAATTACAATAATAATAATAATAATAATAATAAATTATAATTTCAATACTAAAATTACGTGCAACCTGTGAGATCATATATTTTTGAATTCTTCGGACTGAAAATATTAAAGAAGAAGAAAATTCATTAAGTGTACATTTATTTTGATAATTTTTATATCACCAGAACCATTTGCGCAAGACAGGGGTTACATTTTCCAAATCTTATTTGATTTTTTCTCAAAAAGCAGACGGTKGCTACAGTACAGTAAACATGCAATAAGCTACAACATGCACAATGCAAAATATCAAGCGTGGAACATACCTGTAGAATACATAATGTTGTAAGAAAAACAGTATGTCAAAAATCACTGACAGCAAACCCAAACCAAATTTGGTCGGATCCCCAAACACTGAAGCCCAATCATCTACAATAAAACAAAATTGATAAATTCACAAAAAACAAAATATTTACTGTACAAAAGTATAGTTACTGTAGTTATATGCGTTGATAATCATTTGTAATATACTAAGTAGTCCTCCTGTGAAATCTAAGAATATGTTGCCAATACTCCAACCAATTGTACTCTTACGCTTGTAATTCATAACCGCCTAGAAATAATTTATTTCTATTGTAATACACAAAACGTAGAAAATAAGCATGGTATATTATACAACACTACTTCAATATACATAGATATTTGTAAGATCAATAACAAATTTAAGTGTTAATTATTATATCTAATTTTAGATTTCTAACATTTACACACATTTACAGGGGTTCTAAGGGTGCTTAGCACCCTGAATTTTAATACTAGCACCCAAATCTCATTATTATCTTAAATTATAACTAAAAATCATGAATAAGTGCCTCTWCCATGGGTAAGATAGTCTATTGAACATAACAATTATTCACAAGGAATAAGATATGGAAAGGTAGTGCTTAATAGATGTCCAGTACTTCAGTGTGATCAGGGCCGGCTTAATGTGRTAGAAAAATTGAAAATAGGCAGCCGCCTAGGGCAGTACTAGTGTGGGGGTGGCAAATTTCAAATGAACCAAAGTGATTTAATTATTATAATATATATAATATAATATAGTATGCTGAATTGTATGTTCATTGTTCAAAATATACCAAACAATGGTTCATAGATAAAAATGAATGTCCTTATTTTATTCAACCCTCTCYTCTACAAAAAATTAACTATTGCATAGGGCAGCGTAAATTAGATTTGCCTAGGGCGGTAAAAAACCTACGGCCAGCACTGAGTGTGATTACTACAAATTACTATATTATATTTACAATGGAACTTCCATACTATAATGAACTTCTAAATTAAAATGTTAAACTAAATACTTTCAGAGTAAAATTGTTTTTTTATTTTTATTTTATTAAATTCTCTATAATAAATTTTTTTTCTCTTATTTTTAATATAAAAGTTTTATTAAAATATTATAAAACATATTAATTTGATTTGCATACATTATTATAATTTATAATTAGGGCTAGTTTGATATAGTGAAACACTAGTCATATTCATATATCCTGAAAAATTAATTTGAAATATAATGAAATATAAACATATACAAATCTCTATCAAGATGTGTTAAGAAAAAAACTATAATTTTAATTATTTTTAACCATTTATAAAATTTATAAAACAAGAATAAAAAATATGAGTAAAAAGTTTTTAATAAATAGGATTTGTAAAAATATCAAAAAGTAGGTAATAAAGGTTGAAAAATTGGCTAAAAAATGCATAAAAAGGACCTAAAATTCAAAATAAAAAAAAGATACTAGATTGAGATTGTTTCTGCTTAATTTAAACTTAGTGTTAAAAAATTTATGTTTTACAATAATCTAAAAAGAATAAATTTTCCTACAAATTCACAGCCTTAAATAAAATTGATTTAAATTTTCAATATATTTTATTTACAGAGATACCTATCAAATGTAATGGATATAGGAGAAGTATCAGTATTTAAGGAGAATATTAAGCCCATTACAGCTTTGCTTCTCTAAAATTTTTTGGTACTTAAGCCCCCTTAATATTTTTGAATGATTTGCGTCTATGATGTCTTATTACAACGATCTACTAATAACTTTAAGTTGGAGATGTTAATAAAAGTAATAATTGATTACAAAATAACTGCTTTAAACATTCTTAAAAGATGAATATCACATACTTGTGGAATATATTTGATGAGTGTTATGGACAACTTGATATATGAGCAGTAATAAAGAAAGTCCAGCCATACTATCTTTTGTAAATATACAAGAACTAAAAGGATTGCTATTAGTAGTCCATAGAAAGACATGATTGATTTGGCTGTCCGAGAAACTTGTTGTTCRCCTTTCTGCAAAATATATATATATTCAATTAAAACTCATTACTACTTAACAGAATTTCTTTACATAACATACATGTTTTATAATTTGATGCAATAATATGTATTATTACATAAGCAATTTTAACAAACAAATTTAACTAAAGATTACCTCATAGAAATAACATTGGGCCACAGTTATTAAAGTAGCAAATACAGCATGAATAGAAAAGAATATGTCATTTAATTGAACTGGATTTAGTCCACGAGGATTTCTGGCAGAGTATTCTTCCTATTCAATCATAAAGTACAGATAGGTAAATAAAAGGTGATCAAAAGTCATTGATGACTAATTATATTACTTCAATTTCAGGTATCCATAGACCAACATTAAACATTGAATATAAAATAAATCCAACCAAGTTCAATGCAATGAAGTCAAAATTTAAGCCCACAACACTAAAAATAATAATACAAATTATTAACAAATAAATCAGATTTTAATTCAAACTGATTATGTAGTATCATAYTACAAAATTATCAGTAACACAATATATAAAAATAAAAAAAACCAAAAATGCAAAAATAAAATTTGATGAACAGTGAAACAAATTTAAAGAATTAAATTTGTTACCTATGTAACTTGAAATTAAGTAATTTAAAATTAAACAACATATTATATAAAATTACTAATTTTATATATGTTGTTTTTCTTCAAAATAAAATATAAAATTAATAAATACATCCTGTAGATATCTTGGTTAATACTGAACAAGATTTACAAAAATTAAAAAACATGAATAAATCCAACAACCTATACCTAATAATATTAAATGATACGAAACAAGTTATTGAAATAACTAAATTATAATAATACAACTTAAATACTTGAAATTAGAACATTTAAATATTTACTTAAGCTTGTTGAAATTTATTATAGGTCGTCAATATTTATAACGCTTATAAATTATACATAAGCTGTCAACGGATGTTTACCATGTAGAATATTTCAATTGAATACATAAATACTTAATCAAATATGTAGTAATTATCATCAAAATATGAATAATCAAATATTTCTTAACATAAAATAAAATAATTTTAAGTTTAAAAAATTTTAAATCAAACATATTTTGTAGTTTATWGTACAATTACATGTTATAAATATTATAATAAAATTAAAATAAGGCTTCTGAGGCGGGTGTCAGTAATAATATCTATCTCTGAAGCCACACTACATGATGTATTATATAAGATGTCAATAAAATATTTGAATCACTTACTACAAAAAAGGCTAGTCCATCATTAACAATATTTTTATTTTCTTGGTACACATATACCAACATGAGGACATAATTTAGCATATAAATTATTCATACTCAATTAATCTAATACAAATAAGAAGCAAATTAATTATAGTGTAGCGCAAAAACAACATAATATTATGTACAGTTATAAATTTATAAAATATAACCAATAAAAATTTCAAATACGATCGTGTCTATCAAAATTGATCAACAAACAATGAACTGTTGGTAAAAATTATAGTAATTTTATTTTGTACAAATGAAAATGTACTATGTACATACTTTACTATAAAAAGTAGTTTTCTATAAACATATTCTATAATAATGAACGCCAATAATATTTCTAGTTAAAAAATTATTAAAAATTGAAGTCAAATATAATATAACATACAATCTTCAAAATGTTATGTTTATTAATTTATAGCAAGATATTTATTCTTATATGTAGATTGTTTATATGCTGCATAATACATAGTATTGATACAGGTTATATTTTTTGGAAAAACACCTTAGTATGAATTACCTTTTACGTTTCCAGTTTTCATACATCTGAGGATAAAATGATATTGACCATGCGACAAAATAAACCCATCCAACAACAACACTGATTAAAGCCAATTCATTAGAATGTTGAAGAGTAACTCTCACAAAAGCATCACTGGATCTGTAATAACACAATTTATATAAAATATAACTATGCAAAAAATATTTAAACATTAAAAWTGTAATTTTATAAGACCCACGAAACATACAACTTCACATTAAATAATAAATTGTTTAAAACTAATACATCAATTTTATTCATCATTTAAAATATCAGAAGTCATAAAAAATGYATTAAAAATAAATACAGTAATACGTAATTGTTTTATGTAAGACATATTAATAGATTTCAAAAAAAAAAAATATTTATATGATTTAAAATTTCTAATTTTGAATTAAAATGCTATCGTGAAAATACATTGAATAAAAAACTATAAATACCTACGTTAAATTAAAATAACTTTTTTTTACAAACTTCACCTAGTAAGTTATTAAATGCAAGGTAATAATACAATTACTGAAGGTAATCTGCAACATCCTTATGTCAATTTATTTCAAATTCGATATACGTACACATTCAGTATTAAATAAGTACACTAACAATTGAATAAATCATTTAAACTTAAACTTTATACAGGAACATTTTTAAGAGTGAAATGTTTCATTTATAAATATATATATATCAATGGTCTAATAATTTAATTTCTCATTCTTAAACTATAAGTTCACCTAATAATATGATCTAGCTATTTTTCATATTATATTCATACTTAAAACGAAAACAATTTAAAATATAATAAGTTTAATATTAGGTTTAATTACTTTATGGAAGAAGGATAAACATCAACTTTTAATAAGTCGTGGCCAGCATCATGACCAAACAACTCAACTGGCCATACATTTGGACCTGAGGAATTGATGACTTCTATTGTGGTAATATTTGTCGTCAATAATTCTTTATGATTAATGCTGAGGATTAATGTGGTATTTTCTGGTACATTGTCCCTGGTATAAAGATATTCAGGTCAAATAAACTGAGGATTTAATTGTAAAATATTGTAGGTATGTACTCGTACATAATAAAACCAAAAATTGATATATATTCAAGGTACTTACGTTAAGGTCAATGTAAGCGTTGTCGAATCATTCACCAACAATACCAAATCTTGAGTGTTGAACGAAAATTTTGCAGATGCCCAGGATACACCTGTCAAAGTAATCAATTAATGTTAACTTGGAGCACAATGTACGATTTTCGCACGTCGACATGGTTCTTACTGTAGGCGATCAGGACGAACGTGACTCGAATAATGTTCTTCATGGCGAATTTCTCAGGTCGGACGGCCATYGGTTGTGGACTGAGGTGGCTGTGGAAATATAAAATTTTGAATAACAATAAAAACGAACGCGCACACACACTGACGCAATTACAGTCCAAACAACATGTGCATCATATTAATTATGAATTGTAATAACTGTTTGTATTTACATAGGTAGCACATGTGTACGCGAGTACAATTATTTGTGTGACGAAAAAACCCGAGACCGCGATCAATCCAACGACTAGGCACGATGATTATCGGTAGTCACTCATTTCGTTTAGGTACCCGACAACAACAGTCGTGGTCGCACGTGCAATCCGAAGACCAAAAGCRCCGCAGAATTCTCGATTCGCACACATCACAACGTCGTAATATTTTATTATTTTTATAAGAACCGTCGGTCGATAACTGCGAGACCAGCAGGCACTAGGCAGCAACCGTCCGTTATCCGTCTAACGTTTCGAAAGGCCGCCCGAGGTCGAACATTTATTATCAAATATACCCTAAAGAGTTGTCCGATTTGCTGGCACCCACAGAGTATCATTACTCTATGCTCGCACCGAAAAGGCTGCCGTATAGGTACATCATATTACAATCATTAGTGTTGTTGTTTATTTTAAATGACCCGCCGAACAGACGACTAACAAGGACGTTTCAGTGTCTACATAGGTATCGAAATATATGAATCAAAAATCAATTATAATATTGAATCGATGGCGATCGAGTCGGTGTCAAAAATAATCAATACCCACGATTGTATGTACAGTTTTCAGCCGGACGTTATTTCGTTATCATTGCAAATCGCAAAATACAACACTTGTCGCCACACGACTCGCACGTAACGCTTCGAAGTTCGATCGAGACTATCATAATCGCTAAAATATTATTACATCACATCAAATTATAGCTATCGATCTGTCCAACACTGAAAAGCAGACGTGCCGTAAATAATAGTTATCATCGGAACGGGTATTAAAATATTCAATAAAAAATGTTTAGTTTATTATTTTATTATTATGCAGTGTCACAGTGAGAATCGGGAAWCAAWAAGCTAAATAAGCAGCTATAATATTACAATAGACTAGTACAGTTTTTGAAGTTTTGATTTTGAACGCTCGCGCGCTCGAGATAAGACGGATCGGCGATCGCGACTCGTGAGGTGATAACGGTACAGCAGCTGTTGTAGTGTTATTATTATTTTGATAAAACAAAAAACCTTCTCGGCGGCAAATTATCGATTCTACCATAGGGTAATATTACTCTATAGTCTATGATTCTATCGAAGGTTGTATAGGTTAGCGCGTCGCATAATATGATATTACTATTATATTAGTAATATTACATTATTATTTAATATTTATTACATAATGATATTATTTTGAT